TTTACAGTCTCTGTGGTTGTTTTACGCAAACGTTACAAATTTTGTTGTCCAGCATTGTTCTTGAAAAGACATATTTTTACGTCTCAGAACAAATGTGATTATTCCAGTACCAAATGCCTGCACGAACAGTTCAATTACGTGGCATTGAGGAGAGGTGCGGAACCTTTTTATCATTAGAGGTCACATGTGAATTAGGTAGTAATAAAGAAAGCCGCATAGCATTTGGTGTACCTATAAATATGACTTTTATGACATTATTATATTTTTTTGTATTTTTTTAATAATTTGATACACTATATTAAAATATTACAAAAAAAGTTTACATAAATCCATATTTATTTATTATTTGACTTAACAAGTTTAAAATAATTTGTGTTCACACAAGGGTATGAACTTGTTATAACATTAATCAAGTTTTTTTTTAAATTATTAAATCCATTTATACCGTTGTAATTTTTTTTTATGTTTCAGTGTTGGTATTTTTATTTATGTAAACACACACACTCACACATATATATGATAGGCTCGGAGTGTGCATAGAGAAAGAATATCAATCATCTTTAAATAATTCCAGCTTTAAATAATTCCATTTGCAGTATGACAAAACTTATCCAATAGGGCCGCCCATTGCCGCTTAACTCATTCGAACAAGGAACATTGATACAGGGACGTAACAATATAGTAAGAAAATAGTTTGTGTAGAGATCAAATAACATGTCTGGTGTAGTGTTGTGATATCCCCCTCCTTGGGAGAATATCTCTCGGAGTATCAGCGTGTGCTAGAGGTGTAGGATTAACGGAAGAACTTGAGGCATACATAATCTTATAATACACTGCTGGACAATTGCTAAGGACGGATCACAAATTGCAATGTAGCATAACATTAAGCGAGACATGAGGCCTAGTAGGATAAAATATAGTTGCCAAACTGTTCAGACATTAGAATAAAGAATATTTATTGTTCTGGAAAGTACAAAAGCTGTGAAACATTTGAAAGAAAAAAAATGGTCATTTGATCTGCGTACGGAGAAATGGAACAATGCATCTAAAAGTCAGCAGGCACCTTAAAGAAAGGTATCAGTACGGGATATGTCCACCGTGGAGTGTGATGCAACATTCCACACGTCGTACCATACTTTGCACAACATTATCCAGCAGCTGATGAGGCAATTTATCCCATTCCTCTGTGAGTGCACGGATGAGGGTGTTCTTGTTTATCGGAGGATAGTTTCGACCAGCAACTTGCCTCCCAAAGCATCCCACACATTTTCAATGGGGTTAGATCTAAAGAACGCGCTGGCCATACGAGACGTTGAATACCCTCGCTCTCTGACAGTCCTGAACAGCGAGTGTTCGATGACATGTTGCGTTGTCGTCCATAAAAACAAATTTATCACCGACAGCATCACGGAAAAGACGAACATGAGGAAGTAGAACTTCATCAATGTATCGTTGGCCCGTCATAGTCCCATTCGCAACCACATGTAGGCGCGTGTGGCCATTGATCATGATGCCGGCCCACACCATGATACTGCATGTCGGATATCGGTCCTTTTCCTGGATATTTTCTGGACGATAAGCAGTACCACTCTCGCGCCAGATCAGTTGGCGTCTACAATCCGATGACAGACTGAATCTACTCTCATTTGAGAATAGTACGCATGCCCAGTCCTGTTCAGTCCAATTGTGATGCTCACGACACCATTGCAAACGGGCAGTACGGTGCTATCTGGTCAATGGGACACACACAACAGGTCTGCGTGCGTATAGTCCTCCTCCCCTCAAACGTCTGGCAACAGTTTTTCGGGAGATCTGCTTTCCTGAGGCAGCAAGAAACTGATTTGCCACCTGCTGATCTGTGGTGCGCCTGTTCCTTTTTGCTGATAGGACGATATATCCGTCTTCTGCAGGCGTCGTACTTCTAACACGACCTTCCCCGTGCCGTCTACTACACATTCCAGTAGTTTTAAATGACTTCCACAGCCGTGAAACAACGCTGTGAGCGATGTCGAACTCCCTGGCAACATCTGTTATTTTTCGCCCTTCTTCGATCTTTCCAATAATTCGGCCACGCATAAAATCATCTATGTGATGTCGGGAAGACATGCCAAAAATTTTAAGTTCGTCTATTAAATCTTTCCTGTAAAACTTGAAACAACAACTGTCCACACGCGTCAAAACCTTTAAAGCTCTTATGAACGCTATCACGTGATGAACAGACGTGGAAAAAATTTGCACACACACTCATACTTCTTCTTACTAATATCCCGCACTTATTCTAATTTTCCACATTTTGCTTCCTTTCATTTTGTGGTTGCTTTGGATGGTAGTGTTATCCGTCCTTAGCAATTGTCCAGCAGTGTATATCTTTATTAAGATTTTTAACTTAAACATCTAACAAATTAAATTATAATAATTAATGTGAGAGAATCTACGATGGCAGAACACGCAACACACAATATTTATAGGTAATAGCGACTTAACCTAACTTGGACCACTATCAATAACTGAATCAGCTAAACTCAATTCTAATACAATCACTGATTCTAATATTAAATAGTCAATCCTACCTTGCTGCAGTCTGAAGAATCAATCACTAATATCATAAAGAAAATCTTGTATTTACTTGCGTGCTCTGTTATGCACCTTGGTTCTCAATATATTTATCAATTATAACTTCTAATCACCGACACGTAACCTTATCTAAACTTGAACCACGAACTATATTAGCATTCCTCTACTTGCCATCAACTGCCACAAATTGCTTTCTCGCTAACTCTTAGTTCCGATATTTAAAAGCTTGTTAATTTGCATCTTTCATTCATTCACACTTCACTTCTTGGATTTGGTTGGAAAAGAGTTACCATTAAATTCTGGCCCAAAGAACCCAAAGGACATGTTAAAGAAAAGATGCGTGATCCCGTCACAGTGCTGCCATGTTGCACTAACTGGCGTTCTAACATTTGAAATGTACAATTGGCTATTCCCACAAGTAGTCATTGAAACATACAAATGTTAATGTCCCTTTTATTGAATTCTATTGATTTGCAAATTGTTATAATCTATATAATTTAATATTAATAAATACAAGTGCTAGCATTTATGAAGGCCGCAGGTTCCCCACCTCTGGCATAGACCAAACCACCTTAAACACGAAGGAGAGAGTGATGGTAGAATACATTTCAATCAGTGTTACTTTGACTATATATATACATAATTGGAATGTCATGGGTGACCTTAGCCCCCAAACCTTCGGATCCTATTTCGCATGTTGTTCTATTAAAGATAATCGTTTACTATTAATTTTTTCAACATCTTGAGTAAACTAACTCAAATTCACGATTCTTCAGTGACATCTATATTACTCTGTAAAAATTTATCGTGAATTATTGTCAAGTACGATTATTCTGTATAAATTTATCATGAATTATTGTCAAATACATTAGTCGACTTTAATATAGCCTCTTGTATCTGGCTTAAATAATGCAGTATTCTTTTAAAGCATCAATTTCAACGGCAGCTACTCACACACACACACACACACAATTTCAAAATACAAATCACTCAAAAAATATTAGTCTTTGTTACTGAACGTGAAATCATCTAGACTCATGAACAATTTCATACAACTTTATCTGAAGACACATAAAACAGAAGGAATAAAATTCCAGTTCAATGTGAGAGGAATGCAAATTTTGAAAAATTGTATTTACTGAAATACTTTATTGCAGTTTTCTTGTAAGGTAAAATAATTTATTTCATATCCTTTATTTGCAAATTTCTTTCAAATTTTCAATTTAAAGCAAATGAAGTAACGAAAACTATACATTTAAAAAAAGTAAATATGTAAAACATAATTATACAGCATACTTTTTTAAAAACACGAATAAGAATTGGCATTAAACACTATTTATACATTTTCATACGTTTTGACATTAAATTGTCAAAAATATTTAATCCTACGCATCAGAAAATAGCACAGAATGAGAAAACACACACACAGCCAGAGATTAGTAAACCCATAACTTTGAAGAATTTATTTTATGAGTAACACTTATCTTTACAGCTATTAATTCTACACGTGCTAATGAAGATCTACTTTCTATTTAATAATAAAAAATGGTAAAGAAATGATGTATCTATTTAGCATACTCAATACAAGACATTCATTTCAAAATGAAATGCATAACACGATTGCACTAAATCTTCGGTAAATCATTTGAAAAAAAAATATGAATGGACGCTCTTTTGTTACTTTTAAGATTCACTTTAATTGTTCATGAAGAAGTTAAACTAGATATATGACACCTTCTATATGTGGGCAAAGATAAATTCGCTATTTAAATTCAGGAGAATCATATTTTTTCTGACCTGTTTAAGAACTAAGGCTGCAACAAAAACTAGAAGTAGATAAAAAGTGGGCCTCTCTTAGGTGAAAAAAGATGGAAGATTTGGAAATAAATATGTGTTATCAGAGGTAGGACGTGAAAATCCAGTCCCCTAATGAGTTATTCATGAGTTTCTCAATGCCCTCATTCATCAAATGAGGTTTACTTTTATCAGTTACCATTCTACCGAGCTGAAACTCAATATTGGTGCGAAACTATTGTGGATAAGATAGCTTCCGAAAGAAAAATGTCCTTAAAGGTTTTGGGTTCGTGCATACAGAAAAAACTATGTGCAGTAAAATACGTTTAACGCGAAAACGCTTGACGAAATGTCGGTTAACACGAAATAATACAACGGACCCGATAAACTAATATGTTTTTCTGTGTATTTTTCTTTTCCTACAATTAGTTCACACTCGCCCTATCGTTAATAAAATACATTCTATTCATCTTTTCAAGTTCAAATACATTTTTTTAAAACATGTAGTGGATAACACTTGATGTTAATACAGTATTTTCAAATATTAATTCATTAATTTAATTTAATGATTAAATAGTAACAAAGAAAAATAATAGTCCAACACCGTATATAAAAAGGAAAATAATTGTTGTGTGCCTGTAGCGAAATGGATGGCGCGCGCGTTGAACTTCTAATCCAAAGGTCGTGGGTTTGAATCCCACCTGGGATGGCCTAATTTCTGAGAATGTGCGATTTCTCTTACTATACTATTTTATTGGAATAGTAATATTTAATTTATGAATAGAAAGTAACAAACAAAAATAATAGTCCAGCACCATATGTAGAAAGGAAAATGGGAAATTGCAAGGAAAATCTTTTTCTGTTTTACCACTTAATATTATACTGTCATATGCATATACATACTTATATTAATTGTAATTATTTAATAAAAAGTAACTAAAATAAAAATTTTCTTTGTTGACCTAAGTAGGAATTGACTTAATTTTTTTATATTACTTGTTTTCTCTTAACACGAGACGAAAATCGCTTAACATGAAAAGATTTCCCTTCTGGGAGAGGGAGAATAACGAATCTTAGCTAGTACTTAATGAAATGCTTGAGAACTTCTGCATTATTGGACTATTCTATACTGTATCATCGGAAGAATTCGTTGTAGTAGATGATGGTAATCTACGAACAGCCCCAATTATGACAGACAGACATTTTGGAGTTTTTTCAAAGCTCAAAAAAAGTCATGGGTGTAGATTCGGACGGCGGAAATGAAATGAATAATGCAGCTCCTGTTCCCACGTCATCCGAAATGAGGAACATGAAAAATATGCGGAGTTACTTAGATGCACATTCAAGTGGTTAAATGAATAACAAAGTGGACGACATTGAACAATTTATTAACTATTTGATGTTAAAAACGACAATATTAAGAAATATTAGATTATTTTCTAATATCTCAATAAATGTTTTGTTTTTCAAAAAAATTGAAAATTTTGTATTAAATATCATTAAGTTTTGTTTTCTGTATTTTTACAAAGTATAAGCATATATACATATCTATGTAAATAAAATACTCAAATAAACTTAATTTTGCTCAATATGTTTTCTTTTGTTTTTGGTTTTTTTTTTTGCAATATCTTTAACACGGGACTTTTTTTTTATCACAAAAAATATTTCAGTCCCTTCAATTTCGTGTTAAACAATTTTCACGGTAAATAAAATAGAACTTTATGAAACATCAATGACACAAATGAAGAAATTCTAACGGTAAATGGTATTAAACAACCAGGTAGTAGAACCAGGCAACATGTAGTACCATATAATTCAATTGAGCTACACAGAAAACTTTCAATGCAAGCATACGCAAACACAATTTAGAAAATACATTTGCATTCTATTGGAATAATACAATATATAAATATTTAAACAAAGGAATCAGAAATCATTTGATTCATTGAATACATAAAAGCAAAACTTTTTGAAGCTTTCTCAGTAATGAATTTGAAAGACGAAGAATTAAAAAAACTTGAAGCACTTGACATAAAAAATAGTCAAATTGAGATTTATTAAGAAATGAAAAAAAAAAAAGAAAAGAAATGAAAGAAAAAGAAAAGAAAATTCTTATGATCAATTCCGTCACTTCAATCAAGTAATATTTTAGCGAATGTTGCATAGAATTACCTACTTGTAAATAAATTCGAATTAATGGCTCTCAGATTTTTTTTTTAAAAAAAGGTGTATATAATACGGAATTTTTTCTCTCGTCTCAATGTATCATTTTGGTTCAATTTTTAACTTATAAGTCAATATTCAAATTCTATTGCATTTCGAAATTATTCTGTTTATTTATTTTTTCTGTTTGTGAGAACCCCCCTGGGTTCCACCCTGGACACCAAGATTAATTTGAGGCAAAGAATCACCAAGAGCCATTTGTATAATAACTTGTATTTATTATCTTGATTCAATTATCAGAAACTTTAATATCATAATATTTCTATGTTACGTCAAACAAAAGGGATTTACCTTTAACATTAAATTACGAATTATGAAATTAATCAATGATTACGCGCAAGATCAAATAAGGTGTACCGAAATAGAAGGTCCGAGAAATACACGTAACTCGAATCATTAGCTTTCATTAACTTAAACTAATTTTATTAAACTAGCGATTGTTTTATAAGAGATAATAAACTATATTATATCACCTGGCAATACTTAGGTATCTTCACAAGATGCCTTCGTAGATTACTAACCGTAACTCTTCAATATCGCAATCCAATTGAATCCTCCAAACTTGAGGCTACAGCTGCTGGCTCAATAGCCTTCATCTTTGCTAGCTTACAACGCTTTACTTAAATACCCTATCTACTTTACTTATCCCGTTCGCTTTTCGGAGTTGATTGGAAATATACGCGAATTAATAATCCCCAAAAAGACGCCTAAGAATATTAGAGGAAAGGTTCCGTACAGATTCGTCACATGTTTTTATCTAAGTTTTTTTAAATTTAAAGATATTTTGTTTTGTTTACATGTGCTTTTACTTAAAAATCATTAATTAAAATTGTGATCATTTTGAAACATTTTTTTGAATTTTAAGTAATTAATTTCCTTATTGTTGCATTTTTAAATATTTATCGAAATACATTTTTTGTCTCAAAAATTTCGAAACAGATGTTTTTATTCGCTCTTTCAAGAATTTTTACGAAAATATTTTGACTTCTTTGAAATATACACAAGAAAAGATTAATAAAGATTAATATTTCAAGAAGATTATAAGAAGATATATTAAGAAAGATTAATATTTCAAGAAAATTATTACAGTACAAACACTTTCTTTGGTCATATATTGCATCACAGCTCGCAGTATAATAGCCCCTTTGAAGACTTGTGTAGATAAGTTACAGTCTCAGCTCCACTCTTTTCTAAATGATTACTTCAAAAATTGTATCCTTTTCTATCGACTCTTTTACTGGAAGGATTGTCAAACGAGGTAAAAACTCAAACATTTTCTTAGAGAAATCCCAATATTAACCCCCTCCCCCTCGTTTCTGTAGACAACTTTTTTCTCACCATTTAATTTTTTTAATTATTTCCATAGGTTTCAAGTTACTTTCTATTCCTTAATGTTTGAATGGTTCTCCCAGGCACGATAATCATTTCGTTTTTGTCATTTCCCTCATATTGCAGATTACCATTTTGTAAAACTATCCATCCTGGATTAGTTTGAATATTTATCCGGAAAACTAATCAATCCTTGATTAAATTCTTTTTTTCACATTAATATTATTCGTAGTAAATTAGTTTCCTGTTTCAAATTCTCCAATATTTCTCAGCATTTGCTTTTTCTCCCCTTTCCTCCACCATTTTTTCCGGTGCTTTTTTCCCCTCACCTCTGCATTTTTGCAGAACAATTTTTTTACTGTATTTTTTAATCTTATTTTATTCTATTCTATTCTCCTTACTGACAGGCTTTTTGTTCTTTTTGGTAGTTGTATCGATTTTTAATATTGTTTCCTGTCCCTTGCGGAGCACTGCTGTTGTGTAGCTCCATACCTCTTACGTGAAATCAATCCTACTGAGTAAACAAAATTTGTTAAGCAATATTTTAAAATCATCTACTAAAATTCTTTTTAATGGATTAGCGTTATAATTTTATTCATTTATTTTGTTGTGAACATTATCACCTATTGCTTTCCTTGGAGAGATTGTGTCAAAGTTATGCGATTCCATAATATTAAGTGTACAGCAATCTGTAGAATTTTATTTAAAATATGACCTTTGTTATACAAATTAAAGATATTAATAGCGCTTAATGCACTTGCATGCGCTACAATGCTAACTGAAATTATAACTGCTCTCAAAAACACAATGCTGATGGACACAGTTGTATAAATACTCTCAGACTTGTTTGTTCACGATAATATGTTAGAGATTTTAACTGTCTTTTAACTTTTAAATTTCGATGGGGAGGGAATTTCTTCACGTCTTTAAAATTCGTGCGAAACAATATTCTCAGGATTTATTGTAGGGGAATATTTTCAACTATTGATTCCATGAAATTGGGAATCAAAATAACACCTGTAGTCCTAAAATCTGGTATTTTCAAGATCTCTGAAGTTGCAACTTCTTTAGGGTCAAATTTTAACCTTTATCTAAAAATTTATGGTCAATCTAGCTTTAGAAATCAATTTTCCTCTTGCGAACCAACTACGTTTACCTCGTTTCTTTGTTAGAATGTACAGGGTATTTATACAGGGTCGAGAAATTTATTGGCGAATTGTAGTTTCTGTGCTATTTAGACAGTAATAGTAACATAAGAAAGGGTTTATAATAGGAAGTTCTTTTAAAGGCCATTTATCGTAAAATCAGTAAAAATAGGATTTTAAAAATACTTCGAAATATTCACTTTATAACGAAATTGTCCTAAAAATAAAAACAGATATGCTAATTTTGATTGTTGACGAAGTACCTGTTGAGGTAATGTGCAAAACGAAACGGATTCCATAAAATACAGCTAAATTCTAAGAACAACATTAATAGTTTTTATTTATATTAATTAATATAGTGAAATATTTTTATTTTGAAAAGAATTCGTATTATTAAAAACTTGTCTACTAAAAAGATTTCTCGGTAAAGTTAGAAAATATTTATGTTGGTTGAAGTAAGACAGAAAGTTGGGAATATTCTATAAAATATATCAATATTACCTTGGACAAAGAAAATACTCGTGCTATTTAAAAAAAAATAAGGTAAATTTTTTTAAAATTCTGTTCTGTTACACAGTACAGCGATGCAATAAATTCAGCAAGATTATGTGAAAAATGCAAGGTAAATATTCGTTAACTGCCCATGAACAAACCAGTTTTCATCCAAATTTAAATTTAAATCGTACAAATTCATAAGATTCCAGTTGAAATTTTTATAACATGAAATTTTCCTTGTTTTAACAATGAGATGCGATTCTGCAAGCTCGTTATCGGCTGTTTCAACAAAGTAAAATATTTGGGGAAACATTTTAAGAGAAGGATGCCGAGAGTAATCCATTTTGACATCTTGAGCACTGTATTAAGAAGCAACATGATGTTTTAAGCGGTACCGAATTTAAACAATAATTAATAATTAATAATTGTTGAGTAATATATCACCAATTGTAACGTATTCCATGAAATTCCACATAATAATAATACTAAATTAGTGTGACTTACTTTCCTCCAATTT